AGGTTTAACCAAAGCACTTGGAGTAAAGTTCAGTGTGAGATGATCTTGGCATTCTTATCTTTTGCTGATTATTTTCGGCCAAGATATTTCCTCCTAGAGAACGTGAGGAATTTTGTCTCATTCAATAAAGGGCAGACATTTCGCTTAACTCTAGCATCACTCCTTGAAATGGGTTACCAGGTAGATTATAAATGTTTCTATTACTGTTGGGATAAAACAAAATTCGATTTCAATTTTGCATCTTCAACTGCTTGTCTGTGTTTAGGTGAGATTTGGTATTCTTGAAGCTGGAGCTTATGGTGTTTCTCAGTCACGTAAACGTGCATTCATATGGGCAGCCTCCCCAGAAGAGATTCTTCCAGAATGGCCGGAGCCGATGCATGTCTTTGCCGCTCCAGAGTTGAAAATCTCATTATCAGATGGTTTGCAGTATGCTGCTGTTCGTAGTACCGCAAGCGGAGCCCCATTTCGGGCTATTACTGTAAGGGATACAATTGGTGATCTGCCTCCTGTAGGCAATGGAGCATCTAAGGCCATCTTGGAGGTATGTGCAAACTGAGAATCAGGAATTCTTTCATGCTTGTATCAGTTGTGTGCATCTTGATTCCAGCTTTTCTTCTCTGCAGTATGGTAATGATCCTGTCTCATGGTTCCAAAAAAGAATTCGAGGAAACATAGTTGTGTTGACTGATCACATCTCGAAAGAAATGAATGAATTGAATCTCATTAGATGCCAGAAGATCCCAAAGCGGCCTGGGGCTGATTGGCATGATCTTCCAGATGAAAAGGTGGCAATGCATTCAAATTTGAACTAAACTCCACATTTACTTATTTCATCATTAAATTCATTTTATCGGTGAATTCCAGGTGAAGTTGTCAACTGGACAAATAGTGGATTTGATCCCATGGTGCCTACCAAACACTGCCAAGCGGCACAATCAGTGGAAGGGGCTGTTTGGAAGGTTAGATTGGGAAGGGAACTTCCCAACATCAATTACAGATCCTCAGCCAATGGGAAAGGTGGGCATGTGCTTCCACCCAGATCAGGACAGAATTCTTACGGTGCGTGAATGTGCACGGTCCCAAGTAAGTAAATATTTGCTGCTCTTTTACTGCCTTTTGTTATATAAATGTGTCTATATATATATAATCTGAGAATTAAAATCTATTAATGATCATAAAGAAAAAGATATTTATGTCTTCTTTAAGATGAGATAAATTTGGCTGAGCTGTTAAATCAATGCTTTCCCATTGTAATTGTGAGGAGATAAAGTTACATGATCTGTGTTTAGTTTCTAAATATCCTCTTCTGTTTTAATTTCATAGGGCTTCCCTGATGGCTATAAATTTTCGGGTAACATTCAACACAAACACCGACAAATTGGGAATGCTGTTCCTCCACCCCTGGCATTTGCACTTGGGAGAAAACTCAAGGAAGCAGTGGACTGTAAAAGGGCGGTTTAGATTGAAGTTGAAGCCTGGAAGTTCAACTTTTCTGGTTCTTCCTGGCCAATTTTCATGACGGTGAAGCTTTTAGGAAGTTTGGATATATTTTGACTGTAAACATATAACTAGTATATTTACAAATTAGCTGAGCCATAGAAGTAAATTATCAATTGGAGAGTACAGTAAGCATACTACTATATATATGAACTAGTTGTCATAGAAGTATATTATCAATTGAAGAGTAAATAACATAAAGCATGCTATCAAATAGTTTTGATATATTTTGATGCAAACATATAATTAGTATATTTAGAAATTATCAAAGAAGTTAATTATCAACGGGAAACTACATGAACATAAAGCACATTATCATTTGACATGGTTATAATGGTGAAGGATATTAGAGTGAAAAACTACATTGCCAAATGTGCAAGGTCATAAGACCACTCGAGTCACAGAATGTAAGAGATTTACTAATCCGACCTCCGTAGAGGTCCAAACCACTTGGAATGAAAAGAAGATTGATAAGAGAGCAACACCAAAACAAGAACAACTAAGCTTGCAACACCCCATGGCGAGCCGCCAGCCTGTAGACATGGAACCCGAAAGCTGTAGCTTCCAACATTAGAATACGAAGCCATTAACAAGATCAGCAGAACTGGCAACAAGAAGATCAGCAGCTGAAAGTTGATAGCTGTGTGGTGCAACTGGGCCTTATAGTTTGTGAACTGTGAGAACCACAACAAGATTAAAACAATTGCAAAAACGGTGAGCAAATGTATCGATGGCACTGAGATAGAAGCTATGGTTTGTCCCTTCCACCCCTGTTTCCATTCTGGACCCCTTCTTTTTGGATAAAACCACTCCATTTTTCTCCCTTCCTCTCTATTTTTAATCTGTCTCGCTAATGGTTTTGTTAATTGTTAGTAAATTTGCTCCAATGATTTGAGAATTGGAAGAATATAAATGCTTGAGTATTGATGTTTTACTTGTTAATCCTTAGCATTGAGTCATGCTCACTCAAAGTCATTCTTATACCTTGCTTTGGCATTGAAAGTGAAAGATTCTTTTAACTTCACCAGAAAAAGTGAGTTTGAGTGTCTTGCACCGTGATTGTTTAATTGAAGATCAAATTTCACTGCTTTCCAGATTCAGAAAGATTATTGCTAGAAATCAAATTATGCTAACCGTGTGTTAACTAATAAGGAAGATGATTAAAAAGTCATTAACAAAAATGAACCTGGGACTGTAAAATCTATGACCAAATAACTTGTCTTACATTCTTGGAAGGATTGGGAGCATCATCAATACATAGGAACTTAGAGTGGTAACTCCATCTGACAAAGACCGTTTCGTATCTGCAATGGGAGTCGTTTTCCAGGTAAAAACATAATTAGCAGAGAATGTTTTGAGTGCCAGCATTGGGTCTTACTTCACTTTTGAGCCATACATGACTTGAAAAGATCCTTGTGATAAGAAAGAGGCAGAAGTGAAATAAAAACCATTTTTTTTTTACGGTGTTAGAGCCTGCAGCTTCCCAATCAGTTGAGTGAGAGTTTTCATGTCTGCAATGAGTATTTCCTGTATCTTCAGCTCACAGAAGTTTATTAGATTCATTGCTTCAATCGTCAGCCATTGATCAGTTACTTCATACGTGAGCAGTTGAAGGTTTTTCAAGGTGCTGAAATGTTACTTGGGTTCCATGGGAGCACGCAGCGAGATCATGGACCCTGCAAGCTCTTATCCTTTCCATGGATGCTTCTATCAATGAGATCATTCAAGCAGTCCACAGTCGTGCCAGTTAGTTTTTCTGATTGATCATGAAATCTTCAGGAAGAGACTTAAATATAAAAAAGCAACCACAGAGCGTTGCCTCTCTTCTTTAAGAAGCTGCTATACCGAAGTTTTTAAGTTGCCTTCAAAATCAACAAATTCCTTTTTATCTGCTATGAGGAGCTCCTCAGAACATTTCTGAATTGTTTGTGGACACTACTTTTTCGTTCTGGCAAATTGGTCAGAGCTGAGCCGAAGTTTCAGCAAGTCGACCTCTTGACTCTTCAATCTACCTGCCAATGAGGTAGAAATTGGCTCATTTCTTTTACCTGCTGCATATGCAGGCACGTTTCTTTGCAGAAGCCATGAATTCTCTTCTTCGATCTGCTGCTTCAAGGACATAAGCGTCCACTGTATCCTAAACATCATAATCAACTTTTCTGATCCCGAATACTCAGTTGTCCACAGCAACTGGAATCTTGCTTCTGATCTACATCTTTCAAGAAATATTGCTTCTTTAACACAATATATTGAAGTTGGTAATAGCCATTGAAGTCCTTGGATTTTTGCTGGTTGTTCACCATCAACTACCTTATTATATTACACCTTGTAGAATGTGCATAGATACATTAGAAATAGAGAAGTAAATTTATGAATTCAAGAGCCGGTCTCTAAATTGAGTCAATCTTTGTTTCTTGTGGAAGGCCAAATTCATCGCATCAATAATTTCAAGTAAATTAAATTAGATGCCACTTTATGAATTTCCGCTGATCCAAGTTTGAATTTTAGAATTTATTTTCCAAACATTTATAGTCCCAAATTTAATTGATTTTGATCAGGAAATACACCAAATTTTCCTCCTTGAATGCCATGGCAATTTGCAAACAAGGGAAAAGACCTACACAATTTCATGTCAAAGTCCTATATGTTCGACATGAGATTCAAGTCTTATGCCTCACAAATTGTACATAACTCCCGCAAGGAAGAAAAATATTTACGATACATGATACAATTCTCAATTAAATGAAAAATAATTCATTAAGGTATAATTGCGACATTATTTGATTCCGTGTCGATTGCCTTTTAACATGAGCAAAAGCAGAGAGAAACAAAGTGAAAATTTCTATCTTCCTGAGCGAGTTAAGAAAACGAAAAGCTGAAAGTAATCAGACCTTCACGTAAAAAAACTGGCTCATAACTTGCATACATTAACAAGATCTTGTAACAGTTCTGCAGAAAAATTCTGCTTAAGCCAATTACGGACAGCTACATGTACTTCCCTTGTCACGATCAGTAATCACGCAGCAACTTTCTTCGATGTAACAGAATTGACAATGGTTTGCAAACTCTGGGCCCTGTATAACCAAAAGTTATTTTGA